AAGAATCTTCCTGCAGTACAGAAGACCCAGGTTCAACCCCTGGTCAGGAAGAGCCCTTGGAGAAGGAAATGACAACCCACTCCAGTATTCTTGCCTGGAGAATTCCATGGACAGAGGAGCCTGGAGGGCTACAGTCCATGGGTCGCAGAGTCAGACACAACTGAGCAACTAACACTCTAACTTTTTCCACCTGCTCATCAACCCCTGCTCTATACTCTGCCCAGGGGCACATGAGGATCAAGATCAAAGTCAGGGTTAGTGCCTCCTCCACACTGAGGCTCACGGATTAGGAGGAGGTCGCCATGGCTAAAAGTGATTCTGAGGTCATCTACAGTCTCTCTTCTGAGTGATTCCAAGCTTATTTCTTTTCTCTGCTCAGCAGTCACAAAGCAGAATGCCACTTTCCTTCTCTCCTCCCCTCCATCTCCCTTCCTTGTTCCTTTGGATCAGGGGACAGTGGCAGAACACACAGGTGGCACCTCTGAACAGTTTCACCTTCAGCTTTGCCTCCACAGAGATCTCATCTCCATAGGGCTGGTCCCTGCCTCTCTTGGCCCACTCGGTGCTCTGTTCTCAAACAAAGAAGCTTGGGTTGGGCACTTCAAGGCTGAATTATTTACTTTTACAGACATCTGAACCTTGCTGAAGATCTAGAGAAGCTAGTGTCTAAGTCTTTGAGTTGGTGGTCCATCCTTTTCTAATTTTACAAAAGGTGGAGAAGGACTTCCCTGGTGGTCTAGTGGCTAAGACTCTGAGCTTCCAATGCAGGGGGTGCAGATTCAATCCTTGGATGGGGAAGGTCCCAGGTGCTATGCGATACAGCCAAAAAGAAATTAAAGGTGGAGATAATGCTTTATATTTTCAGAATGTTTTTGCTGGGTTTCAGGACAGGAGTAGATTACGAAGTCCTCTTTTCTCTCATTGTCTTACCATAAATTCCTGTAGATTGATTCTCATTGCCTTTCAGAAATGCTCCATCCTGGAAGATTATTAAGCTGCTGGGTATTTTGAGTACTAAGTGGCTTTGAAGATTTTGCAGTTAAGTCTTCTATTGGAGCCGTGGACTGCTTTATTTTACTCTGAAATTTATCCCCTCTACTGACATTTTATTTTATTTTTCATTTATTTTTATTAGTTGGAGGCTAATTACTTTACAACATTGTAGTGGTTTTTGTCATACATTGACATGAATCAACCATGGATTTACATGTATTCCCCATCCCGATCCCCCCTCCCACCCCCCTCTCTACCGGATTCCTCTGGGTCTTCCCAGTGCATTTTACATTTTAAACAGTGTCTTTTTATAGGAGCTAAACAAGTGGCAACTGATTTGTGTATGTATGTATGTATGTGTGTGTGTACATACATGTCTTTCTCTTGCCTTCCCTAAACTCCATGTGCTTCTGTGATGTTACACTAGTCATAGCAATGATGAGAATACGTTTAATAAAGGGACTAAACCAGACACAATGACACTAATAACCTGTTGGAAAATGGCTCTCAAATGTCCAGTTTGGATAATCACCAGTGTGGCAGGTTTGAGGGATTGAGATGCCATCATGAAATTTTACACATCGGAGTACTGGCAGAGTTATTAAAAAGAACATTCACTTGGAAGATCAGCAGCATCTTCAAGACTTAGCTTTCAGGTTGGTGCCCCTTGAACACATCAGGGAAGAGAGAAGAAAGAGGATGAATGGGACAAGGCTGGGAATGGAGTGGGGAAGGAAGAGAAAGGCAAAGAATGACTAGAGTAACGGGCTGGCCAGTCACCTACAGGACAGCCGTGCCACAGACTGTGGGAACCTAATTTGTAAATTTCTAAATGCCAAATTAGTCATGTATGGATGTGAGAGTTGTACTTTAAAGAAAGCTGAGCGCCAAAAAATTGATGCTTTTAACTGTGGTGTTGGACTGCAAGGTGATCCAACCAGTACACTGTAAAGGAAATCAGTCCTGAATAGTCATCAGAAGGACTGATGCTGAAGCTGAAACTCCAACACTTTTGACCACCTGATGCGAAGAACTGACTCATTGGAAAAGACCCTGATGCTGGGAATGGTTGAAGGCGGGAGGAGAAGGGGATGAGAGGATGAGATGGCTGGATGGCATCACTGACTCAATGGACACAAGTTTGAGTAAGCTCTAGGAGTTGGTGAAGGACAGGAAGCCTGGCATGCTGCAGTTCATGGGGTTGCAAAGAGTTGTACACAACCAAGTGACTGAACTGAACTAAAATGCCAAATAAATGCATTATTAGAACACAAGTTCCTTGATCTGTATTTCCCTATGTCTTCTCTCCCATGTCCCTATCCTTATACCAAGGACCTAGTTCTGGACCTGGTATGATCTGAATAATAAGGATGCCTCTGAACAAGGATTGGACTTCTTCTTGGGGAATCTAGGGACACTGAGGACCAAGGGCATGCCAACAGTGATGATGATACAACTAACAGCTGTGAGTGACAGCCATAAGTAAGGAGTCCACGGGGGGGGGGGGTCATCTGCTTCTGAATTTCAGAGTCACCCCCAGAAGTTCTGATTTTAGTAAGTCAGGGGCTGAATTGAGGGGTTTACATTTCTAAAAGGGCTTCCCTGGTGGCTCAGCAGTAAAGAATCCAGCTGCAATGCAGGAGATGTGGGTTCAGTCCCTGGGTCAGGAAATCCCCTGGATGAGGGCACGGTAACCCACTCCAGTAAACTTGCTGGGAAAATCCCATGGACAGGGGAGTGTGAGGGGCTGTAGTCCACGGGGTCGCAAAGAGTCGGAGATGACTGGAGCCCCTGAGCAAGCACATTTCTAAATTAGTAGGCACAATTCTTATGCCTACTAATGTTGGAGAACCACTGATCTAGGGAACCTTTAAACCCTAATTATACATGACAAGAGACTCTTATTTCATATTCGATCACCCAGGAAAACAGGTTGCCGCATGTGGTCCAGTCAACGAGCTGTCAGCTGCTCACTAGCTGTAAGGGGTCTGTGTTAAGAGCCAACCTCCTCCCTTGTCTCAGTGTTAGGCTTACTCTTCCCATCACCAACAATTGACTGAGTTCATTTTTTTTTTCATGGTTAGCTCAGTTTTTTGGTTGTTGTTTTTGTTTTTGGACTGCACTGCTCAGCTTGCAGGATCTTGGTTCCCCATCCAGGGATTGAACCCAGGCCACCCCAGCAAAAGTGCCGAGTCCCAACCATTGGACCACCACCAGGGAATTTCCTGAGTTCACATTTTAATCCTTGCAGATTCCACACACCACCTCCAAGCCTGGAGTGTGAAACACCAGTTATAATCCATGTATTCCCTCAAGTTGTTTCACGTAGCTTGTCTTTAGGTTGTGAGGGTTAAGTCTGGAAAACAGAAGCTGTGAGGATGGAGGGATGAGAGCCAAGCTCTCAGATGCTTTATGAGAACCCCCGAGGAACACCTGAGAACAGCATTCACAGATCTCAGACTTGGGGCTTGGCTGCCACAAACAGCAACGAGCTAGACTTTAAATTCAAGAGCCCGTGTTTTAGATTGTCTTGGCAAAACACACACACACACACAAGTCAAAACAAAATGAAACAAAGCCCCATTCACGTATTCAGCACCCGAGGTACGAGGAAGGACAAACCTGAATGACGTGGAGCTTGGGGCTCATCAGGCAGGGGGCTGCTCAGATAACTATCCAGCTTCTTCAGGGCCTTCAATAGGTTCCTTTCATAAACTAACATAGGAAGGCAGAAAACAACCAAGATGAGCCATGGAAGTCCATGTCTCTGTCTTCGTTGTTGTTCAGTCACCCAGTCGTGTCTGACTCTTTATGATCCCACGGACTGCAGCACGCCAGGCTTCCCTGTCCTTCACCAACTCCCAGAGCTTGCTCAAACTCATGTCCATCAAGCTAGTGATGCCATCCACCCATCTCATCCTCTGTCATCCCTTTCTGCTCCTGCCCTCCTCTCTCTAGATATCAAAAAAAAAAAAAGGAGTTTGTCCCTTCCCTCCTGAGACATGGCCAGTGAGTGTTAGAGAGTCAGGAAGGGGACAGGTGGGTTTATGAGATCTAAATAAAAAATTCCTTCTTCTTGGAAAATAATTCTTCTCTCTACACAACACTGCTGCTTCTATAACTCATTCATTTACTCAAAAGTGTATGTGGAGAAACTTTCATGGTGGGCATCACCGACTCAATGGACATGAGTTTGGGTAAACTCTAGGAGTTGGTGATGGACAGGGAGGCCTGGCGTGCTGCGGTCCATGGGATCACAAAGAGTCGGACATGACTGAGTGACTGAACTGAACTGAATGGTTAAGACACTGTGCTTTCCAGGTGGGATGGGGTGGGAGCTGGGAGGGAAGCTCAAGAGGGAGGGGATGGGTGTATACCTATGGCTGATTCGTGTTGCTGTATGGCAGAAACCAACACAATATGGTAAAGCAATTATATTCCAATTAAAAATAAATAAACTAAAAAAGACTCCACATTTCCAGTGCAAGGTCAGGGAACTAAGATCCCACACACCACACCATGTGACCAAAACATTTTTTTAAAAAATTAAAAATTAAAAAAAAAATCTTTATGGAAATCATATAGTGAAGGAAGCACCAATAGAAGGTTCATTCACCCTGAATTCCACGGGAGAGCAAGGAATCACTGATGGTGATGATTTTCTCCTAAAAATGTCCTTTCCTGGACAATCTCTAGAAAATCTCTGAAACCCATGTGCAGGCTCAGAGTGGGAGGTACTTTTTCTTTATTTCTATACACAGGTCCCTCCCCACTGTGCAGTGAGTCAGAATTCCCCAGATCTTATAAGAAGCCACACCAGAGGTAGAATGGAAGTCCATGGAGAAAACAGAAAACAGGAAGATGCGAGGGACTCACTCTCGTTTGCATCCTTCTTGGTGTTTTTTATAAATGCTGAGAACTTGGCAAACATGTTATTTCCAGCAGAGTTAGATTCAGGGTGTTGGGTCCCCAGCTTAGGGTACCTTGAAAAGTTCAAAGTGGGAGTATCACAGATCAGCAATGTTTGAGTTGGGAGAATACAAAGCAGGAGGGGAAGAAATGCCTTTCTCTGAGCAGATATAAAAATGAAAACTGCTCCGTAAATGTTTTCCTAATCTTTCCATCTTCAAAGTTGGGAGCAGCACTGTCCAAGAGTAAAGCACTGGACGGACTGTCCTCATCCTGGGACAGAAGGCCCCCTGGCCTTGCTGGTCTGGGTTCTTGCCCTCCTGAAATAAAGATGATGAACTAAAGGGTTCCCTTGCAGGCCCAACCTGCTGTGATGCTGCGTGTAATACACGCTCCCAACGGGCCAGCAGAAACGGGCCACCCACGTGGCCCACTTCCTCCCCACTTCCTGCCATCAAACCCTAATTGCCAAATGGCAGGTGCAGAGTAGAGAAATCCCAGCCACCTAGACTCAGGGCACACCAAGGTACAGCTCAGAAGGTAAGCGCCACGGCCACAGAAAGCCAACACCCAGCACCAGGAGCTTTAGAACTGTCTGAACGGGGAAAAGTGACAACCGAGTCGCCAACGCTGGTTTTGATGAGGCCCACCTTGCGGGAGCCAGTTTCTCCTCTAAGAACTCCTCGATCCTATTCACATCTGTCTTGATTTCACCGTCAAAAAAGTCATGAAAAGTGGGATGGTGCTGGGAGCCAAGTTCTGCAGGTCCGCAGGCTTCCTGGGCAGAGGGGAAGGGCAGTGCCAGGGTTGGGATTATTGCCGAGGCTTAACCATGCCCCCCGTCCACCCCAACACACACACCAGTGGAAGAGAAACCACCCTTGAGCACTTCAAAGGCAACCGGGAGTTTACATGCTGACCTACTGGCAAGGAAAGAGTGGCCTTTTATCTGGAGACAGGGCTGAAAAGTTAACCCTTCCCAGTGTTATCAGCCAGGAGGGGGGCTCAGGCAGGTTCCAGAGAGGGTCATGGCTGACCAGTCACTGGGCGGGCAGGCTCCTCCCGGTTCCCCTCCTCCTACTCCTTCCGGGTTACCTCTGACCCCATCCTGTAATGACTTCGTGGCCCACGTACGCCCGCTCCAATCTAGGGTCCTGACCCACGGTGGACATGCCCAGGACAGGGCCCATGGGTCCTAGGAGGGTGCATGCGTGTGCCTGTGTTTCTGTCTGTGTGTCCCTGTCCGTGTGTGTGTCTGTGTGTGTGCACAGGCCTGTATGTCTGTGTCTCTGTGTGCCTCAGTGTGTGTCTGTCTCTGTGTGTGTCTGTCTGAGTGTGTCTGTGTCTGTATTTGGGTCTGTGTATGCGCCTGTGCTTATATGTCTGTGCGTGTAGGTCTCCATCTCTGTGTGTGTATGCACCGACCTGTGTGTCTGTGTCTCTGGGTGTGTCTGTCCCTGTGTGTCTCCACCTATGTGTGTGTGTGTCTATGTATGGGCCTGTGTCTGTATGTCTGTGTGTCTGTCTGGGTGTCTCTCTGTGTGCCTGTGTGCACAGGGAACTGGGGACAGCTATTTCAATACTGCAGAAACCTGGTCTTACCTTTTCAAGTCCACTGTTGTCACATTAAATAGAACACCCTTTAGCCAGAGAATCATAAAGAGACGCTGAGAAAATGGGCAATTTCCAATACTCTCACCATCACAGCCAGCCTGCAAATGGAAGAGATCTTTATCAAAGCCAGACTCACAATTACAAAAGCCAGACTCTGCTCTGCATGCACACAAAATCATGGTGAATATATGTTAAGAGTAACGATGCTGTAAGTAGCCTTGTGAGGTCCCTCCCCCCAGCCTCCAAGTGGGAGGTGTGGGCGGGGAGGACACACACACTCACTTAGCTTTCTACCTTCTTCCATCTCCTCACCACTTCCTGCCATTTGGGGCCTCTGAATAGCGCTTCTCAGAGGGAAAGAGCAGCCAGAGGGAACCCCCTTTATTACTAAAGGCAAAAAAGGAAAGACATACGCTTCCCCTCCCTCCATCTCTTGATCCTCTTTAGAAGAGACACACCTCTCTTGCCAGGATGATGATTTGCTAAAAAGACCAGCAGGCTCTCCCGCGAGCAAAGGATCCCCAGCATTCTCTCCTGTTTCCATCTCTGGAATGAGGGCTGGTTGCTATGAGCTGTAGGACCCTGAAACACTATAAAGTGTTCAGGTCTCCCCCTCCACTGGGAGCATTTGTGCTTAGATGGCAGATGGCTCACAGTTTATATGGAAGGTAGGAAGACAGGAGGAAACAATGTCTCCCTGATGACCCGGGCAGGTCACTTCCACACACACGTGCCCGAGCACAGGCACAGAACATTGAGCAGACATCCTCCCTTCCAGGGCTTCCAGGAGAAAAGAAAGGAAGATGTTAGAGAGGGGAGCCATAGACTTCATCCTCCTGGGGCAGCTCCCAAACTCTTCTTTCTCCTCCCATCTTTCTCCACCCAACAAGGTTATACTGCTAACAAAATGCTGCCAGAAAGACCAGGAGATTCAGCTGGGCTCTGAAGACAGAAATGGCCATATTTAGCCCAGGAAGTCCATTTATGCCATCTGCAGTTCAAAGGGAGTTGAGAGGAAAGCACTGAATCTATAACCTGAATAACAGAAAGGGAGAGAGTCAACTGCTGCTTTGAGAATTGAAGAAAGGAGAAAAGATGCCTCAAGAGAATTGGACATCTTAAGAAATTCTTCAGAGGTGGTTCTCTGGCGTGAAGTTCTTAAGTCACTTGGAGAGGCTGTTCATAACAAGCTGTTCTTACAAATGAAGATTTGATAAGAGACCCCAAACTCAGTTTTTTTTTTTCATTTATTTTTATTAGTTGGAGGCTAATTACTTTACATCATTGCAGTGGTTTTTGTCATACATTGAAATGAATTAGCCATGGATTTACATGTATTCCCCATCCCGGTCCCCCCTCCCACCTCCCTCTCCACCCGATCCCTCTGGGTCTTCCCAGTGCACCAGGCCCGAGCACTTGTCTCATGCACCCAACCTGGGCTGGTGATCTGTTTCACCCTAGATAATATACGTGTTTCGATGCTGTTCTCTTGAAACATCCCACCCTCGCCTTCTCCCAGAGTCCACAAGTCTGTTCTATACATCGGAGTCTCTTTTTCTGTTTTGCATATAGGGTTATCGTTACCATCTTTCTAAATTCCATATATATGAGTTAGTATACTGTAATGGTCTTTATCTTTCTGGCTTACTTCGCTCTGTATAATGGGCTCCAGTTTCATCCATCTCATTAGAACTGATTCAAATGAATTCTTTTTAATGGCTGAGTAATATTCCATGGTGTATATGTACCACAGCTTCTTCATCCATTCGTCTGCTGATGGGCATCTAGGTTGCTTCCATGTCCTGGCTATTATAAACAGTGCTGTGATGAACATTGGGGTGCACGTGTCTCTTTCAGATCTGGTTTCCTCGGTGTGTATGCCCAGAAGTGGGATTGCTGGGTCATATGGCAGTTCTATTTCCAGCTTTTTAAGAAATCTCCACACTGTTTTCCATAGTGGCTGTACTAATTTGCATTCCCACCAACAGTGTAAGAGGGTTCCCTTTTCTCCACACCCTCTCCAGCATTTATTGCTTGTAGACTTTTGGATAGCAGCCATCCTGACTGGTGTGTAATGGTACCTCATTGTGGTTTTGATTTGCATTTCTCTGATAATGAGTGATGTTGAGCATCTTTTCATGTGTTTGTTAGCTATCTGTATGTCTTCCTTGGAGAAATGTCTGTTCAGTTCTTTGGCCCATTTTTTGATTGGGTCATTTATTTTTCTGGAGTTGAGCTGGAGGAGTTGCTTGTATATTTTTGAGATTAATCCTTTGTCTGTTGCTTCGTTTGCTATTATTTTCTCCCAATCTGAGGGCTGTCTTTTCACCTTGCTTATAGTTTCCTTTGTTGTGCAAAAGCTTTTAAGTTTCATTAGGTCCCATTTGTTTATTTTTGCTTTTATTTCTAAAATTCTGGGATGTGGGTCATAGAGGATCCTGAACTCAGTTTTAAAAAAGACTTGATCAGCCTCTTCACAAAGACAAAGACCAACAAGCACATGAAAAGGTTCTTAACATCATTAGCCAACAGGGCAATGCAAGTTACAACCACAAACAGATTCGACTACACACCTACAAGAATGGCTAAAATGAAAAGCTCAGACAATATCAAGTGTGGATGGGAATGTGGAGTAGTGGACTCCCCAACCACTGCTGGTGAGAGTGCAAATTGGTACAACTACTTCAGAAAACTGTTTGGCAATTATTTACCCAAAATAAACATGCATTTATGCTATGACATAGCAATTCTACTCCCAACAGAAATGAGTGTTAGGGGCACAAAAAGCACTTAAATGAATATTCTTAGCAGTTTTAGTATCATAGCTAAAACCTGGAAACAACTCAGACACCACCAAGAGTAGAATGGATGCATAAATGGTAGTATACTCATATACGGGCTTCCCAGGTGGCACTAGTTGTAAAGAACCTGCCTGCCAATGCAGGAGATGTAAGAGACGTAGGTTCGATCCCTGGGTTGGGAAGATCCCCTGGAGAAGGGCACAGCAACCCACTCCAGTCTTCTTGCCTGGAGAATCCCATGGACAGAAGAGCCTGGCGGGCTACAGTCCATGGGATCACAAAGGGTCAGACACGACTGAAGCAACTTAGCACACATACTCATATACTACTCCACACTACACCACATACACTACACCATACACTCACACACTACACCATACACTCATGCCACAGTAGAAAAAAAAATAGCTATTACTACAAACCACAATGTGGATGAATCTCACACACGTAATGTGGAGGGAAAGAAACCAGACTCAAAAGAGTCTTTTAGGAGAGTCCAATGTAGGTGAAGTTCAAACACAGGAAAACTGTGTGATGGGAATCAGAAGAACAGTTGCCTTTGGAAGCTGGGTATTGTCTGGAAAGGATGGGAGGAGCTCTTAGGGTGGTGGAGATATTCTATAGCTTGAGTTGAGTGGTGGCTATGTGGTGGGTATACTCACTTTGACAAAGTCTTAATTAAAGTTTGTTTCCTTTACTGCATGTTTTACTCCAATAAAAAAAAAAAGAAGAAGCAAAAGGATTAATTTTAAAAATAGAGTCAGATTCAGTGGGTCTTGTATGAGGTCCAGAAATCTGAATTTTTAACAAGTTTCCCAGGGTACTATAATGCTGGCAGTCCAGGGCTTCAGCCCCACCTTGGACAAGAAATAAGACTGGCCCAGTGTTATGGTCAATGCATAAGACAGAATGGTTTGAACCACACCCCAGTGGACGATCTGTTGATAAGAAGGTTCTTGCAAGAACTTCTAGCTGAAAAAAGAAAAAAGAACTTCTAGCTGATAAATCCAGTTGCATAAGTGTCAAGATAATGAGTGAACTTAATATACATGAGGAGGCACCAATAGACTCAGATAAGTGACTTCAGAGTCCCCTAAGCTCAGGGCACTGGCTTCACCCCCTCCAACTCCTCCAGTTCTCTCTTCCCCCCTCTAGCATTTATGAGCAGGTCCACCTGGTGTTTCCAATAGTCATGCACGGATGTGAGAGTTGGACCATAAAGAAGGCTGAGCACCGAATTGATGCTTTCAAACTGTAGTGCTAGAGAAGATACTTGAGAGTCCCTTGGACAGCAAGGAGATCCAATCAATCCATCCTAAAGGAAATCAACCCTGAATAGTCACTAGAAGGACTGATACTGAAGCTGAAGCTGCAATACTTTGGTCACCTGATGCAAAGAACTGATTCATTGGGAAAGACCCTGATGCCAGGAAAGATTGAAGGTGGGAGGAGAAGGGGACGACAGAGTATGAGATGGTTGGATGGCATCACTGACTCCCTGGACATGAGTTTAAGCAGACTCTGGGAGATGGTGAAGGTCAGGGAAGCCTGGCATGCTGCAGTCCTTGGAGTGACAAAGAGTCGGACATGACTGAGCGACTGAACAGCTTGGTGTCTGTGACAGATTAGGGGTGTGACAGTTAGGACCCCTGCAGATGGCCCTCTGGCTGCCTGAGGCCATACCCTGCCTGAGGGACCCATAGACTCATGGCCATTTTGAAGGCTGCCTAGTCTCCTCTTGGCTATGTCCTGGAACAAGCATCAGCGCAGAGCTCAGTTACATAAAACTCTGAGCAGCTTGTTGCTGGGAATCCCTCCTAAATCATGGTGCTGTCTTAACCACTGCAGGTTTGGGCAGAGTCTCGCCAGAAAAGGGGGCGAAGGAGGAGATGAAAGTTCAGGGACACAAAGGCACGTATTTTGGCCAGTCCTGACTTGTTCCACAGCTTCTAAACCTCTTATTTTTATAGTGGTTACACTAAGCTCAGTCAAGCCTGAGATACATTCTGCAGAGTCAGGCCATTGTGTTTTTCCTTCTCTCTTGTGTCTCTAACCTCGGGAATCCTCTTAGAACTCTATGTTGAACAGGGCAAGAGCCCCGAGGAGCCGGGGCATCTTGGTGAAACGCACTTTGACCAAGAGCCCCATGGCTGGGACCCACCGCTTTCTACCTTGGCGTCTGGAGAACAGCTACCCTGCACAGGTCTCTCTGCTTCTCTGTTCTGTCTCTTTCATGGTCTCAAACTCAAGCCAGTGTTTTCCCTTGAAATTGTTCTCAGCTTTTCCTGAATCCTGGC